GGACGGAAGTTTATTGCGGGTGTCGTTTCTATTTTGACAAGCAAAAATACTAACCCAATGAAACCAAATAACATCTGGAGGTGCACAAACATGCTTTATATTGCTTGTCTTAAAAGAACATTTACGTAGGTTATTAAAAAATTTCCAAACTGAACATAAAGATGGCAGCAGTGGTCCATAAAAGTTGGGATATATATATTTTATGTGCCTGCGATAAATAATTGGGCAACGATTTTACTCCAGAAATTTAAAACCAAAATCGTAATTTCGGGTATTTATAGCTGCTTCATTTCCCACTCGCATTTATATTTGGCGTCCGGAATTCGGAAAAGCAAAACACAACCAATGGTCCCAGCGAAATAGATATTTATGTGCAACTGACGTATTTGTATAAAACTAATTTTTTTAACAACAAAAAATTCAAAAATTTAGCATTGGATTAAACAAATTTTCTAAGAGTTTATCGCATTTGCGTGCGTGTTCTATAAGCAACTGTAATCAGGTACAAACAACAAAGTGGTGCATTACTCACTAGTTTCTTTACACACAGTAGAACAATGTGGGTGAGTCGATGAAATTGAGTAGTGCCAGAGGTGATGGGGTTGTGATAGCAGATATTGCGCTGCTTATACATATATATATGTATATATATGTGCCATGTGTATATACATATATATATGTATATATTATGCCAATTTCTTCATTGTTTACCCTCCTTCAAATCTACGGCTGTCTTTAAATTTGCTTTTAATCCGTTGATAATTTGGCCCCTGTAACATTTTGATATTTCGCTTGGTTGCATTTGATGCGATTTATAAAAAAAAAAGCCAGTACAAAGTAAAACAAATAACAAAGAAATTAATAATTCGTGGATATGAATGTATATGAACACTAAAACGAACTTGTAATTTAACATTTACACAAAAAAAAAGAAGCAACGGTTGATCAAGTTGGTGTTAGACGTTTTCAACAGTAAACTGCTCTAGAATTATAGAAGATTGGAGCTTAAACGATAATCACATCCACGTACGTATATATAGCCAATATTAAAGCAGCAGTACAATAACATCACTCAATAAATCTCTGGCCTTATATATGTATGACAACACTGTTGACAGACCCATACGATTTTTGGATCGTAGCAGCCATTTGCTCATATTTTATTTTTAATATATAATATTTTCAGTTAAAATATTTTTTAATCCAATACAAAAAAGTTTTTTTATAATAATAAAACTTTGACAAGAAAAACTTATGATAATAAATAAAAAGCAAAGTTTTTTCATAAACACCTTACAGTACCAACTTTCAAACGGTACGCACCAATACTACATGACATTCATATGTTAATTATAGATTATTTCATTGACTTCGGCATCTCTTTTTTGTCGAAAACAACAATTTGTCAATGGTTTGCCGATTTTAAACAAGTTCTAAGGACGTCGGTGATGATGAACGTTCTTGTGGTTCGAATTCCGCAGTTGTCCACACATAAAAAAAGGCCCCTAAAGTCATTTTGGAAGAGCAAAAACTGAAGTTGCATGAGATAGGGTGACATCCTAAAGATATCGAAAGGCAGCTTATCTACCATTTTGCAAGAAAAGTTTTCCAAGAAAAATGTCTGTCCGAAATAGTGCGCAGCCTCCGCTCACTGTTGAGAACAATATGTTGATGACTCAAAGCCCTGTTTAGGAGACCTAAAAAGGATTTTTTCATATGATATGTGGCAGTGCCAGAAATATAGGCTCATAATTGCACTCCTTACCTGATTCGGCAGTCGATTGCGTAGACAGCAACCGCACAAAGCAATCAAGAAACGAATGTCGCGAAAACAATTGCACGTAAACTAATGGTGGAAAGCTCACAAAATACTGACATGTCTCATTTCAACGTTGGTGCAGGGCCCATCAAGGGTCCGTCAACATTGTTCTCTTATATAACAGATCGTAGACTTATTGAGTGATATTATATGTTTTGTGGATTAAACATATATTTCACATAGTGGTTATACAGAATTTGGAAAACAATTTCCCTATTTCCTATCTACCACAAAAATTTACCATGGTTCTATTACAAAATAAAAGAAAATTCCTTGCGTGTGCCGTGTATCAGTTACGGCAACCTTGTCGTGATAAGGTTTAGCATAAATTACATATGTCTTCTAAACCTGCTCAGTCGTTGCTGTCTATTATTTTCACTTGTTTTTAGATATGACAATAACTTTTTTATAATTACGAACAAATAGAAGTTCGCAATGATCGAAGCCATACGCCGTATATATTCAGCATGACGTTAATTCATACTCATACCGAAAGGGATCATGTATCTAAATGGTCCATCTTCCGAAGGATATATTACTTATATATTACTTTAACGACGAAAAGGAAAGAAGGATTTACTAATCTAATTTAAATAACAACATCAGAGTACCACTGCAAAATGTTCTTTAGAAAATTATTGCAATTTCGCTTTTCACTGCACCAATTACGTTATTATAAAGAGAAATCAACGAAACCAGGATACGGGATCATTTTTAATCATGAAACTCATAAAATTTGGTGTCTATTTTAATTGATAACAAAGCACGCAACTGCTACTGTTAATATTAACATTCAAAGAAGTACTTCCGCTTTCCCAATTCTTTTATTTATTAAATCTACTTCGTAAATTTCAATATTACCATTCGCGCAAGGCATGAATTTTGTTTCGTAAGAATCGCGGAACACCAGCCAATGTTGAAAAGGTAGATTTGAACAAGTAAAAAAATTGTATTCGTTCGTGACCGAATCTTCTATACTCACCACCGTTATCTTAAAAAAAAAATAACAAATTGCAAAAACTAAATCTTGATACTATATAATGCGGAGTGGGCGCGACTAATTTTTTCTGTTTTCGAAATAAATATTTTCGTCACATAGGCATGTGCGCGTTGTAAGCGTGTCGTTGGAAACGTTTAAGCCATTTCCAAATTCTTTTGCGAATTTGTAGCCGATATTTTCATTTTCGCTAGTGGGCGAATGTTTACCACAAATACAACACCCCAAATTTGAACCAAGAATTTATACACGTTAGAGGGTTTTGAAGCTTGTTTCTGCGTCTTATAAAGGAGTAGAGAAAGAATTAAACTTAGATACACTATTCCATCGGCTAGGCGTGATCAATTTCTTCTATTTTTATAGAGATACTACAGCACTACCCATAAAATAGACAGTTATTTGCTATAGCTTATGAATAATGAGCAATAAGCCAACTTTTTATTACTGTTAAAAAATGGAGTGTTTTCAGTTCGCGTGGTGCTACGGGCGAGTTCTTCGACCGATGTGGGCAGTTTTCAATACAAACTTATGGGGAAGAACTTCCATTGTTTACGCTAAATTTGAAGTCGATATTACACAGGCGGACAGAGAGCAAGGTGGACAGACGAGCATGCTTAAATCCATTCAGGATTTGATGCTGATCAAAACTATGTGTGGTCTCTGAAGCTTTCTTTTGAGCGTTGTAAACGTTTTCACAAATGAATATATCTTTCGGCGACGGGTATATAAGAAAAATTATTAATAAGAGGTATTACCTCCCGTAGTCTGAGTAGCAATTTTCATTCGATTTTTCATTGAATAAATGAGTTGATTATATAATCCTACGCTATCCTGTACCATTCTTCCTTAGAATCTCTCCAAGACTGGTAGGCGCCCCGTGGTTCGTACTCATTTCTTCAGCTCGTCGCATAGGTGCTTACTGGAATTAAAATGTGGGTGTCGAGCAGGCCAAGCTGTAACCGGTACAAGCATAATGTGTTTTTCAGAAGCTAGCAGTCTGTACTTGGAATTTGGTTTAAATTATATTTGCAACTTAAATTTAATTTAATAAATAGTTAGGTTCGAAAGCAACGTGTAGGAGGTGTGAGACTTTTTTGCTCTCTATTGAAGCAATTGCAACCTTTGCCTATAATCTTATATGTACTTTGATTTTGTTTTATATAATGTACGCCGAAAAAGTTGGATATATATTATTTTACAGTATAGGAATCACATTTCTATGTTTCGAATTATCTAGGAACCGGTCTGTCTTAATTATGATGTTAAATACGTAGGTAATACGCTTTATTTTTCTGCTGATTTAATTAACTTTGGACGAGTTTCGTCGAAACCGTTTGAATTTAATTGCACGGCAGCTTGTTAAAATTTCGGCATAATCCAGAAAGCAACTGCCTTCAAAAGCTATTTAACAATGCTTACAACGTACATAGCAACGCATAGTGCAGAGTGTAGCATTACTAATAGTTTGTGTATTCGCTGCACCATAATGCATGCTAAATTTGAGATGTTCTGTTTTAAATTTCCTAACAGCTCTTATTGGAACAAAATTGTCAAAAGATATCTTTCATTTACTACTGGGTACCATCGGTTCATAAAAATTAGAAAATGTAGATCCTTTGACTGATATAGAAGTGTTATTCGACCAAAGACCACATTCTACCCTGCACATTAAGCTTCCCATGAATGAGCCTACAACACCGTTAGGTTTTATTAAAAGATAATACAGACAGTTCGGCGACCTATACATTACAGAACGGCTCTACAGGAACTTGGTAAGACTAATACTTGAATATTCCTCGCTTGTGTGGTGGTTTTACTACAGATGTTATGTAGATTAAATATTCAAAGCAATTTCGGTTCCTTGTCCTCAGAAATTTGGGTTTAGATCTTCTCATCTCTTTGCTCCTGTTATTTAATGTCGTATTTATGTATTGGTTTATATATCACCTTCCGCAATTTATGGTTGTTTTTATTGTACAACTTGCTACTACTAGCCTACAGTTCCCTTTTCTCGGGCTGTATAGAATAAAGGACGTACAAAACGGAGCGTCCATGCACAAGTCTTCTAGTTTTGCTTTCGTCTAATGTTTTGTAGGTTTGAATTCTTAGTTTTGAGAGAGTAAAACACTGCTCTGTTCACAGTTGGTGCTCGAACATTCTAATCATATTAAATGAATGATTAAACATATTGGCGAATTTAATACGAATATATAAAGTTTGCTAAGAAAAAAGAGAAAAAATGTTGTTGTAAAATTGTAGGAAATTCATCATCGTCGTATATCAAGCGATTATATAAACTTGCCTAATATATAAGTTGTCCTACTCATCACCTTCGCCATCTTGCAATCATCTGCTATTGTGTGGTTCTAAAACTGTAACAATTTCGTTTTCGTAAAACCAAGTGGTTACATATTTCTATTCCGTATTGGTTTTCTTTTACACATTAACTTCGCTACTTACAATTATTGATTGTTTTGTTTTTGTACATCGTCAGCAAATTCATATTCGTTGTTTATCAAGCAGTCACATAATCGCAACCAACAGCATTTTTGGCTTATTAAATTCATCATCTTAAAATCATCATAAGTTTAAAGGGATTAAGGTAACAGCGTATCACCTAGAAAAAGAATATACCTTGTGTCAAAACCCTCATAGAAGTAAATGGAAACAAACAAACTTATAAATTTTTGATTTATTCCGCCCAGACGACTCCACTTTGGTGACCTATGGGACGCCAGAGTCAAATCAGCCAAGGCTCATATTAATCGGACTCTCCCTAATATTCGCCTAACCTGTGAAGAAGTTGTCACTGCTCTAATCAAAATCGGGGCGATCCTAAATTCAAAGTCATCCCCACTAGTGTCATCTAACCCTAACGACTTCGAGGCAGCTTTGAAACATTGGACTTAATTCACTTCTACAAAACAACGCGTTCGGTCTGTGAGCACTGATACATTAAGATAACATTCCTCCTCAAAGGTGCCTTATGGGTAGAACAGTCAGCATTATTCCTAGTTGAGGCTGTAGAATCAAAGTTGCCGTTGTCAAAACTATAAAGGGCATTATACTCCGATTAGCAAATCCGCTTTCTTGGTAAATTAAAGAAGCCCTTTGAGGGACCGAAATTTTAGTGAACGCAAAATTTGTGAATTGGTTTATACTTCATATTTCGCAATTTATTATTGCACGAATTGCTGCTATTAGGCTACTGTGCATCTATGTCCCGTTTTCTTTGGTTATATCGATTAAAACAGAGACAAAGCGAAACGTATATGCACAGAATTTTTAGTTTTTGTCTTCGTCCATTGTTTTAAGTCTGTAGTTTTAAAAAATAAATCATTGATTTGTCAGCAATTGATGAGTGCGTATTGCGAATTTTTTATTTCTCGTCTTCTCTTGTTTTTTTGCCTTTCTTAGAATTTATGGCTTTTTTATACTGCCGGTTGATTCTAATCATATTGAGCAAATGTTCAAACAGCTTTACCATGAAAATAGTAGGCGAAACTTGGATTTTTTTAATTCTTCTATATGTTGCAATTTGTGGTTTAGATTATATGTGATAAATATAAGGGTACTAATTATGTATGATGTTAACTAGGTCTCATTTTCGAGCTTCGACCTCTTTATCTTTATGTATGTACAAGAGGTGCGAGTAACGCTATCCCAGAATTGTGAAAACCACAATTGCTGACGCTTTGCGTTAGTTTGGTTTTTCTGAATTAGTGTTGCTTGTGTTGAGTTACATTTATAAGAGAAAACAGTTGTAAATTGAAAATGCGATCAACATTGTTTACTTGCAAATAGCTAAACAAAAGCCAAAATTTTAAATTTGTGAAAGGTTAATAAATTAATTCTTTTTTCTACTTTTTATTTCATATCATTTTATATATAATTTGCTAGATTTATTCCCATATTTTTATTATTAATTAATATTAGGAAAGCGCAACGGAACAGTGAATAATAAAAACTCATCATCTGAATATACTAGTCTTATCCCCTGCTGGTCCAATCTATTTTACTAAACGAAAAAATACAAGGCGAAAACTATTGTTGAGAGATGCATTGGTGTATGTAAAGCTTAGTATTAATTTCAATTTACAAAAACTTAAATTAAGCTTTTATATGTTTTAAGGTTGATAGCCGTAGTTTAATAGAAGAGCGGAACAACATATACGATCCTAGTAAAATGGAAGAATTTGCAATTGTTTGTGCAGCCCTTTACAATAATTGCGGGCACTAGAAATTGCAAAATCTGGTATTTCAGAGTTAAAAATGTGGGCGTTTCGCTAGAGGTCTCTCAGTTGAGGTGAATAAGTGAGAACCCGCATCTCTTTTGCACTTGTAAATTAAATTGTAACGAAATAAACAATATACGGAACAAATCCAGTTTAAATAAAATTAAAAAGTTGGCTTTTATTTTCAGAAATTGAAAAAGGAAAAATTTGATTTTAAAACATTATCCTGTCTTTATAGGTAAATTCATACATTAGTGTAAAAATATATAAAATAAAAATAAGAAGACTAAATTCAAAGTTTAAACTCACAGCGAAAATAATAAATGAAAATAAAAACGAAAATTGGGTCAACTTAATTTGAAATCGTTCTTTTCTTCGACCAGCTGCAACTTGCTGTGATGGAATGACTTAAAGTCGTGTTCAATTTGCGTTAACAACTGCACCATCATTATCTGCGTCGCGATCTATGACATGAAGCTTCTTAACATATATAAAATTACAAAACAAACCAAAAATTTTACACACGTACACACATGTACTCACGGCTGCGTTTCACTTATGGACGGTCATCGTTTGCAAAGTTTCAGCTGGTCCGACAAACACAGACAACTCTTCCTCGTCACCGATGCCCGCCTCTAAATTTGTCAGCTCGATCATTCTCTCTTTATCCACAACTAGTACCACTTGCTCCCTTGGGTGAATTGTACAGAATATTTGTTGGCGCTCAATTTTCCTTTCGTATTTTATTTGTAGTCCGGCCAAAGTCACTGTACAGTGTAGTCTCCAAGTACACTTTTTGACGTCATAAATCTTTTAATTATTCGCAATTGGTTCCTACATAAAACATTCGTAGTATAGTGAGGTTTCTAATGTCACTCTTTCTGCTTTATCCTGCTTAACTTGATAGATGTGAAACCTTTTGTCACTTCAAAGTTCTACTACTAACTTTTTGTAATTTAATTTTTTAGTAGCAGCAATAGTTGAAAATCCGTTATCATTCGTTTTATGTCATCAAAATCGGGATTTGTGAGGAGTTTGGACATATTTTGGCTTCATTGCCATCATTGTTATTATTATTATTATCATTAATAACATTGCTTCAAGTGTAGAATAGAAAACCGATCAGCAGAGGTTGTGTTGACAACTCTTGAATGAGCAGTGTGTAGTTATTCTGTAAGGTTTGTGCGAGTCTTTTGTTGTTACGAACATTTTAAAAATTTTTTTGCTTACAGACGAACGCTGCGAATCCTTTGAATTTTTGTCGTGATTGGAGACTTTCGATGGAAATTTGCTCCGTTCTGCAAAATTAGCACTATTTTTGGCTGATAAATCAAGCAGTAACGCCAACACTATTTAAGCAACACTGTAATATGTGACTTTTCTTTTTAAGGAAAAAATCATTATTTTCATAGAACACGACTAAATCGTGACATGTTTGCGAATTCTCTTAGTTGTTTTAAACGCACACACCCAGCACAACTATTTTCGCAATAGATTGAAGCGATTATCGACATAAATTTATAGCACGAAAAAAACGTCTTGCTTTGAGCAGTTGCCAAGTTGCCAACTGAAAAATGGCTAAGTGTTATCAATTAAAATGATACAGTTTTGATTCATTGAAATTCTTTTAACGTTTAAGAAAAGTGACTTTTAATATTAAGGAAAAACGCTAGCGTTTTCAACCTTGATTTATTATTTTTGAACTAAAGACCAAGTTTAACGTTCCAGTAATGAACATACATGAACGTACATGGCTTAGTTAACCTTAGTCATTTCTTAGTTCGTTTGTTTTCCACATACACCGCATCCGTATTTTAAAAAATTTCCCCCTAAAAATTTATGAAAACAGGAGTCGAATATTTGGAAGAAAATGAATTTTCGTCAAGTTTTGTGGAGAGGACAACAAACTTACATTTCATGATGTATTTAAAAAAGCATTGATAGTCGAAAAGAAGATTTCATTTAATGAGAATAATGTTGACAATCTTGATAATTGCGTTAACAAATTGAGCCGTAATAAATATCACAGAAACAAGGAGAAAAAGAACGTCAAGTAAACGAAATCGACTTACAAAGAGATTATACAAACGTTATTGATCAAATTAAAACTGAATTCTTCCAAGCATTTAATGACCAATTGGAGGCTTATAATAGTACCAGAATCGTATTAATCGTCGATCGAAATGCCAAACCAATTGTCTTTAACCCTAGACCATTGACACTAGCTTAGAAAGAAAAATTGAACAAGAGCTAAATAACTTAATCAAATTAGGTGTTCTAAAGCGAGTAAACGATTTAGATTGGGATACACTCTTTGTACTAGTTGTCAGTGTACCAAAACTGTATGGGGCATCTATAAATTCGCCATTAGTAAACATTTGGTGGACTTCAAATATCCACTGCTACCAATTGATGAAATATTAGCACATTTAGGAGGTTGTACAATTTTTACCAAACTTGATCTATCGAACGCATCCACTCAACTTGGATTAGGTAATCAATCTTAATTGCTTTGTACTCGGAGCAGGCATATAGAAAAGTTTACTACGTGATATTTCTAATATTGTGATTTATCATTAAAAGTGGTTTCCCAAAGTTGCAGACAAGCGGTCTTAAGAAAAAATGCTTCATCATTCGGTCTGCATTATAATATCTGGAATTTACCTTTGACGGTTGTGGATAAAAAAACTTAATGATCATATTTCGAACGGAATAAACGCTCTTATACCAAACAATACGAGCTCTCATCAGAGTGATTAAGTATTACTTCAAATGTATATATTGTAATAAAATTAGAAAACGCTAATGCAACAATGTGTTGTGTTGACCAAATGTATTGCCTTATTATTAGGTAGGATTCCTTATGAATCCTTCCTTGGCAGGGGTTCTTGAGGTGTAGGTGTATCCCTATTCTGCTCGGCTGCAGAACGCCAAGTCTATCCGTCTCATGTAGTGCCAAAAGAATTCGGCAAGAGACGGTCCCTAGTTAAAACTTAGGCGGATTTAACGCCTTTTGTATGTGAGCGAATAAAACGCTTTGATTATGAATTGCTTTCAGAAAAACAATTAATTTCTTTATTTCTTTAAGTGCCTTATTTATACTTAAATCTACAGGTGATTTTATGCTACGTTAACACTTATTTTAATTGGGGCGCCTGGCATCGTATTGCATTTCGTAATGCAATACCCAGCCAGTTGAAGTGCGACAAAATTTTTGTTTTACTTTTTGTTACAGAATTATACAAATTCAGCATAATTCTGTCGCACTTCAAAGTGGATGCATACAACGGTATGCGATCACACTACACCCTTACCGTTTTAGAGAGAAAATTGTTAATGTTTTTATAGAAGTTAACAATTTTCTGTTATGGAAGAGAATTTTTAAACGTAATTTTTGTTTTTTCATTTAATATAAGTAAATTCTTAAGTATATGGTGTTTATTTACAGCTTTGTATGCTTAGTTTTAATTAGATTTGGGTTATAATTTTTCTTAAATAAATTTAGTTTACATCTATTGTATTGTATCTCTTAATTAAATTTTTATGTACAGTTTTTGGCTTATCTTTCATTTGTATTGTGACATTGGGTTCTTTGATATCTATTACTTCATAGGGTCCTTCATAGGGTTTATCTAATCTTTTCCTGTTGTGTTTCTTTAATAAGATTTGATCTCCTATGTTTATATCGATTGGATTAGTGTAATGTTCTTTTGTTAATTGTGTTCTTGCTGCTTTTACTTTTTGTAAAAATCTTTTAGCCTTTTCTAAAGAATATTTTAATTTTGTTTTTAACTCATTTATGTACTTTTCTGGGTTGTATGTAGGATTTGAATTTAGTATTTTTTCGTTGGGCATGTATGGCAATTTTCCATATATTAGTTCGAAAGGTGTATATTGTGTTTGTACGTGGGGGGTAGTGTTATATGCGAAAGTGTAGTATAGTATCCATTTATCCCAATCATTTTGTGTTGTAAAGGCTAAAAAGTATTCGTTAAGAACTCTGTGGTTTCTTTCAACTGTACCTAAGGTTTCGTGGTGGTAGGGGGTTGAGAACTTTTGTTCGATATTAAGTAACAGACAAATTTCTTTTACTAGTTCATTATTGAACTCTGTTCTTCTGTCAGATTTTAATGTTTTAAATTGGCCGTATTTAAGTATTACCTCTTCTATTAGAATTTTGGCAATTGATTTTGCGCTTTTATCTACAATAGGATGTGCGATTATATACTTTGTTAATTCGCATTGGATTGTTAATATATATCGGAAGTTATTTGAAGGTTTTATTGGTCCTACTGTGTCTATACTTAGTGTTTCAAAAGATGTGGACGGTGTATCTGTGATTGTGAGAGGTTCTCTGTATGTTTGGTTTGGTTGCTTGTTTGGCAAATGTGGCATTGTTTTATATAATTTTTTATCATCTTGAACATATTGCGCCAGATGTATTTTTGGCTTAATTTTTGGAATGTTTTTCTTATTCCGAAATGTCCTGAGTGTGGGCAAGTGTGGTATTCTACTATTAATTTGTACTTTTCTTCATCATCGTATATTCTTTCTCTTTCTTTGTATAATAGTATATTTATGCGGTTTCTTTTAATATTGTTGAATTTTTCCTTTAATATCTCTTTGGATATGTATTTAAATATATCATCTTGTAGACTTAATGCATAGTCTAAGAAATTTAACTTGTTCAGTTTTGATGTCAATTTTTCCAAGAGCGCATCGAAATGGTCTGGATATTCATTGCATCTCACACGTGTGCAGTTTAATTCTTTTACATTTTCAATTATCATATCTTTTATACCGCTTTCGAATTTGAATTCTAATTTTCTTGTGTTCTTGATATCATTTATTGACGTGCATTCCCACATATTTAGTTGTTCATTTAAGTTTTCTTTTGCCGATTTGTTTCTGGTTATTACTAGTGTCCTTTTTATCCGTTCTTGGTCTTCTTCTTTGGATGTTGGAATCATTTCTTTTAATATCTCAGAATTTATATTTATCCTTGATAAGGCGTCAGCGTTAGTGTTGTTTGACCTTGTTTTGTAAATTATGTTGAAATCATAGTCCGATAATTCTATTCTTATTCTGGTTAATTTTGAGGTGGGGTTTTTGTGAGAGAATAGTGCCACTAATCGTCTGTGATCAGTTATCACTGTGAATTTTTTACCGAATAAGTAGGGTCTGAAATGCGTTATTCCAAAGTGGATTGCGAGTAATTCTTTTTCTATTATTGGTTTGTTTTTTTCGTGTTTGTTTAGGGATTTGCTTGCGTATGCGATGGGTAAGTCTTGACCTGTTTCTCCTTGTGATAGTACTGCTCCTAAGGCGTAATATGATGCATCAGTTGTTAAAATGAAGGGTTTATCGAAGTTTGGATATTGTAATATGGGTGGGGATATTAGTTTATTTTTGAGTTCTAGGAATGCCTGATTACATTGGTTTGTCCAGTCGAAGTCTTTTCCTTTTTTGAGGAGATCGTTTAGTGGTTGTGCTATGTTAGCAAAGTCTTTTATGAATTTCCTGTAATAGTTACAAAATGCTACAAATCTTCTTACTTCGTCTATATTTTTGGGTTGGGGGAAGCTTTCTATTGTTTCGTATTTAGCAGGATCTGGTTTTATGCCTTCGGGTGTTATTAGGTGTCCTAAATAGGTTAGTTCTGGTTGTAGGAAGTTGCATTTGGATGGATTTAGTTTAAGGTTGTATTTGTCAAGTCGTTCTAGTACTCTTGTTAAATTTCTGTTGTGATGTTCGAAACTACATCCGTGTATTATTATGTCGTCTACGTATAAAAATGCTTCGGTGTCTAGTCCTGATAAAGCT